AAAGAATGTCATGTCACGAGATGTAAATGTATTCGACGATTGTAATTTGAATAACGTGAAAGTGAGTATATCTAAATTCAGAATTTTATTCGTATGACGATTTAAATTTGGATTTTGGCAAAAAGAGATACGCCGTCCTTTTGATATATACGCGCATTTTCGTAAAGCATATTATGGAATCAACTGCTTCGAAACGTGCTCTCGTTTATCAAGAAAGGACCTTTTGCAGTTATTGATTGCTCACGACAAAATGAATCCGTCAAGAGCACCATGGACGTACGCAAAAATTTGACTGCAAGAAGTGTAATCGAGTATTGTCCGTTGTCCAACGTAGTGCGCAAGATTATATAAATTGCAAGGTTAGCAAATATTTAGAACTTTAAAAGGGAGAGAAAAACTGAGATGAAGCACACACAGTTTTGAAGAATTGCTCGTGATCATACCAACGTTTGTGGATCTGCAAGAATTTATCGTTAACAAGAAATTTATTGTCAAAGAAGTAGCGGTATTGAAACAGGGGATATTCTCACACATTACATTTTTACGAGTCCTGTGCCATGGAAATTTTTGATAAGATCTGACAAGTCTTGCGCTTCCTGATTGAGTGCTTATTAGTGCATGGGAAGAGATAGTGTACGGGATGGTCCCGTACAGCGAGGCGGCTATATTTGAAGATGATGTTATCGTGTACATCAAGGGACGCGAGAAACGAATATGGTTGTGGAACTTGCTTCTGGACGAGAACGCATGTACATCGAGACTTTGGATGCAGTTTACGAAGACATGAAATCTTTAACTAATCTGAATGATTGTAATACTATATGATGTGAAAAGAATTGCTTTACAAAATGTATTTAAAATATTTAAATACATGATAGTTGCGACGCCAGGAAGAATTGTAAGATTTTTAAATAAAATGTATATTATCTATCATCGCAATTAATTTTTATTTCTGTTATCCTTACCACTAGACATTTAAGTGACAGAAAATGGATCGATGACGGTCTAATAGCTATTTGAAAATTGTTTATAGTTATTAAAATATCCGTCTGATAGCTGTTTATAGCTATTAAATATCAGTCTGATAGTTGTTCAATATTAATCTGATAGCTTGAATAGATATACGTTTAATTGCGTTTCAAGCGAAGTGCTGCAAGCAATAAAAGCTGAGGAATCTTTCGAACGCTATGTCTTCTCGTATTTTTTTACTGAAACATACGCTTTTATTCGAGGCATTATACTTTTTGCTGCTGATATATTGATATATTATGACGATCTAATAACTGATGATCTAATTGATAAAATTGATAACTGATAAAAATCCTGAAGTTTATTCTTGAGATCGTTCGAACGCGTAATATAGTTTTTGGCTGAGGTGTAAACTTTTGATTGAGGCATTGTTCTTTTTCTCGAAATGATATCATGTTCCACGAACATCTTTACTATATTTATATAAAATCTCGCACAGCCCCCGCAGTCAATCAGTCTGCTTATCGAGTCTGTCACTCACTCTCATTCATCAATCAGTCTGTGATAGTATCAATCACTGTGAAGGGATGATCAACATCGGTTAAATATGCATATACATACAGATCCGTCAACTGCTGGAAAAAACGGCTTATTTAAGCGAGAATGCGCTGAATCTTCAGGCAACAGGCAGCCCGACGAATTAAAAATCACGTTATCATCACAATATTAGCGATAATGAGCTGATGAGAAAAATATAAGTTTACATATAATTAATAATTACATTATTAATTCAATAATTAGTAGTGATTCATTCGAACGAGATGAGAATATTTTATCAATTATTTCACGACTAAATCTCGGTACCAGTATTTTCTTATGTTGATGGATCGAGATTATAGATTATATATTGTTTCATTTTATATGTATTATTATGTCCAGCGGACTCTTTTCTTTCGTAGAGATCTGGAATTCGTTGAAATAAAAAGACAGCTGCGAATAATGCACAAGTTGAGTGTTATAATCTAGAGAAGACTAAAAAATTTTTTTTCCCACACTAAAAAATTAAAACGAAGAATCCAGTATTTCGTAAATGCTCCGAGATAAATTAAAAATCGATGCACGTGCATAAGCAGCGGGACCAAAAGAACACCAAGTTTGTGCCCCTCGGATACTGCGGCTAAAATAATAATAAATATATTATCGGAAGTGTAAGACCGGTACCAACAATATTTTTTAAGTCAAGTCGCGGACGATTCCTACAAGTCCATGATCACAAAATCTAAGAAACGACACGCGACGTGCAGGGGTAGATTCTGGATGATCTCGTGCCGATTCTGTACGTGCGCTTTCTTGACGCACTGCACGAGCGTTTTCCCATAAATTTTAAGGCCAATTTTCCCCCTATTTTACATCCGATATCACCACCCCTAATTGAGGAATTTCCCGTCTCACCATTCCCTCAATTCTTCCTGTTCAATCTGACGCTTACTCCTCCGCTAATCTCCTTTCTCTCCTCTTTCATAACGTCCATCAGTTGTTGGAACATATCTCACTTTATTCCTTCCATTAATGACCGAGTGATAGTCAGTATCGCACCTGGCTATTTCCATACCATCTCTCATTCCCATCGATCCTCTTTTTTTCCAACCATATTACCCTATACAACTGTAATTTCTCTGTTCTCCTTCCGTGTTTCTCCTTCCAAATCCTCTTCACACAAAATAATACCAATATTACACGCAACTCTCTTTCCACACGCACACGCACGCACGCACGCACGCACGCACGCACGCACGCACGCACGCACGCACGCACG